GAACTGTCAAAGCTCTCAAAGTTTAGGATAAAGTGTTTGATTTTAATGTATTGGATTAATTGTTGCTACTGCAAGCAGGAGGACTTGGCTAGTGAGGATAATAATAAGATTTAAATGAGTCTTTGTTTTATAATAGCGTGGCAGAGGTTTCTTTTGTGTGTTTGGTTTTTTTTGTTTGGCTTTTATTTGGTGGTGTTTGGGTGTTTTTAAAAGCAATTTAACAGCAAAAAGCTTACCCTGAGTATGACATGCACATGAAGAAGGAAGACTGAATCTGTATCTCAACCCTTGCTTCTAAGTCCACACAAAGTGTTTGAAATCAATTGAGGAATTTGAAAACTAATTTTTTAGTTTGACTTGTGACTGTCAGTTATATAAAATACAGTCAGAATATTAATGCTTTAAAAGAAGTCCAGGAAACTTTGAATGTGCTTTTAAACTGCAGTTAGAAAGCCGTAGCAGCTTTGCCTTCTGATATATTTCCAGAATAATCATTTTTAGAGGCAAAGCTGCTGCTTTCTACCTGCAGTTTTTTTGTTTGAGAATTTAAAATGGAGCAAATTAGTAGGAAACAGTGTTTTTAATGAAGAAAGTACGTTGTTTAAATCACAGGAACTTTGTAGCTAGTTAAGAATGAGAATTTAGTGATTTTATGTTAAATTGGACATGGAGTTTTCATTAGCTACTTTTGTTTCCCTTACAGGCTATTTATATTAAATTTTAGAGAGCTCCAGAAGTAAAAGTCTGTCTAAAGGAGTAGTCTTCCAGTTTGGACAGCATTTTTAGAAATAAGTGGGATGTTTTACTTTCTCATTTTCTCATGTTGGTAAATGTTTGATATTTTAACTGAACAGTCTTTAGCGGAAGTTTACAAACTTTAAACAAAATACTGCATGAACCTTTGTAGCTCTGCCTTCCTTTGTTGTGGTACTAATGTAAAGAAATTGTTGGGAAAAAACTTAATACCCTTATATCTGAAATGGTTGAGAATTTATGGAAGGTTTGAACCCCAGACTTCTGTGGCCACCTTCAACAATATGTGAAAGTAAGACAGTGTTTTGGGGGGGTGGGTGGGGGGATCACAGTGCTCATAATTTATAGAATTAACTTAGAATTGAAGAAAATAAACTCATAACTGTTTGCATATCTGTTGAAATTCTTACTGCAACAACTTCTTGCCAGTACTTCCCCCACCCCCTCCTCAGCCCCACACGCATAATGATCTTTGAGAAGGTGTTCAATCTTTTGCTCCTGACATTTGTTTCAAGGTCAGTCAGTGAATAAGGCTTACCACCTGTAGGTTTTGGGTTATGGTGATTTACATGATTTAGATAGTCTCAATTGACTGGCCTTAGAAGAAACTGAATTTTTATTGCAGTTACTCATGTAGGTTATGGTTGGATTGGGGGGTAGAAGAAGAATGCATTGAAGCATTAGGTTTTTCATTTCATTTCATGGTCAGGTGGAGTGGGGGAACCACCTATACTGTAAAAATTGCTTAGTATTTGAGAGCTGGAGAAAGCTGTTGTGTACAGTGTAGTAATTTGGGATGTTTTTCCTATTCACTTGCCATAAACAGCTATCATAATCGCACAACAGCATGAAATATGCTAAAAACTGTCTTTCTGGTCATAACAGATTTCTTGAGGCTAATAAAGGCAAGTCATGCCTATTGGTTTCTTGTATGTTCTCATACAAAATGCAACATACTTATTTGTGACTTCAAAAAAGAAAATGCTTTCTACCCTATGTCTTCAATTCAGGTTTTTCTTCTAAAATTATGCAATTACAAATAAGCAAGAGATATTAAAGCAACTTACGGAGAATGTATTGAGAGTAATTTTATTATTTTTAATGCTTCTGTGAATTAAAAAAAGCTGCATAGCATTTGCCCTTGCATTTGGGACAGTTACAGGCTTTGGTATGCATACAGGTAACGAGTTAAGGTAAGTGGGGTAAGATACTTTGTTTAGCAGAAGACCTTGTATATCCAATGTAGAATACTGTAAATGCAGAATAATAGTAATAGTTACGTGCAGGTGCATATGCAAACAATCATAGCTTTTTCTGACTTGCACTTCCAGAGAAAGAAAACAGGAGAGAAAAAAGGTTAATAAGGGTTTTGGCTTACAGATTTGTATTTCTGTTTTTAGTTGTGCAGTTTTAACATCTTTGCTAATTTTCTGTACCATGAAGAAAGTTTTCTATGGGAACTTGCTATTTAAAGCAAGAGTCCAAAAATAAGCCCTACTTTTTAAAGCTTGACACTTTGTTACCAAGGCTTCCCACAAATCCCGGAAGGGTAGCAAGTTCTGTCAGCTGCATAGTGTCAACCTTGACCGTATGCTTTCTATGGTAAATGTGAAGTAGCCTCTTCCCTTTTCACATGTAAGTGGGTAAGACACAATAATTAGCTCACATTTGTTGCGTGATGCTGTAGGTTAAGAGGACTTATGCTGGGAGATGATGTGGTGAAGTTGATTTATAGGATTTTTATTTCGTGTCAAAACCTGTTTTATAGGAAGGCTATCGAAGTTTTCAGTATTACTAAATGAATAATATGAAATTTATATATGCAAGAAGAAATGTCAGGTTTCTCAATATATTGCTAAATATGCAAATGTTACCTATCGACATCTATGAAACTGGTCAAAAAGACCTGAGTGCTTTGTATTATCTTTTGGTTTTGTTTTGCAGTGCTTTTGTATTTCCAAATAAAAGTAGTATTAATGTTTTTCTCTTGATGCTGAAATTCTAAAGCTGTGCTCTCACTTGGGGGTTCTTTTTGTGGAGGTTATTCTTGAAGATTTTTATGTGGTAAAAATAGAGGAAATGACTGGATTTTGTTGCAGAATCAGAATGCTTTGTAATGTTCTAAGTTTCAAAGAATCAGTTAAGATCTTATGTACCATTAAGCATTAGGTAAAAAATAACCACTTAGACATGAATAATTAATTTTTAGTGTGACTGCTTTAAACAGTTCTGTGGAAAATACTGGAAACCTATCCAGCTATGTTAACTTCGAATTCTACTTTTTTTACAATTCTATATTTCCTTTCATATTGCCAGCTCTGGTCATTTATAATGTAGTAAAAAAATAGTTCAAAAAGAAGTTTGAAGACACTTGAAATGAAACTTAGAATAAACGTTCACAAGCTCAGCTACATGATTCATAAAATTCTGGATGTTGATTTCTGTCTCCCAAGGCTGCAAGAGCCTTTGTCTTTGCCAGATTTTATCACATGCCCCAGGACATTGCTGTCTTGGGAAAGTGAAGTGATTTTGCACTCATGTCTGCTTCAGGCTCTTTGGGCTTCACAAATGAGACTTCCCTGTGTTGTAGTTTCTGTAGGGACCCAGTCCAAGTGGAAATCAAGATGCAGCAGGATTTCTGTCTTGTGATTATTACATAATATTGGGATTTTGAAATATTAATTTCAAAATGAATACTTTTCCTGTAAATTAGTCTTTTCATGGTATGTTAATATATGCATGATTTACAGAGTTAATTCATGCATTGATAATTTACTGAGAATCTTAAAACTCTTCATTGTATAAAAGCAGATTGAAAGAAATTACTGCTTGCCTGAATATTTAACAAGTGGAGTATCAATAATCAGCAAACAAGGTATTTCTTAAGCTTTCAGTGTAGTACATTTACTTTTATTTAAAATTTCAAACATAATGTATTACAATTTTTATGTGTACAGGTATTTGTAAAATTTTCTGTTTTCCCTGACAAGACGTGCTTTTAAGAGTATGTCTTAAAACACTCAGTAACATTTAGTTTTACTAGGAAAAGAGGGGAGGAGCTGGGAACTTAAATATGGCTTTGTGCAGCTTTGCTGTGTATCTATTATTTATAGTTTCATTAATGCTGTACTATAACAAATTTGAAATCTATTCTTTTATATGAGAAAATTACCTGTTATTTTTCCATGCACTGCCTATAAGTAATAAGATTGAGTAATGAATTTAGCTATATTAGAACTCTGGACTTAAGCAGTGATTGTAATCTGTGAGGGGAAAAAAAAGGCTTTTATATCCCAGGTATGAGCTTGTAAGGAAATTATTGTAAAAATTGTATTTTTACCTGGCTAACCCATTTTAAAGAAATATTGCCCATAATGTCAATGCTTGGTACTTTCAATACCAGGCAAGATAGAAATTTAGATGCAAGTTTATTACAATGACTTTAGTGGCTACATTCTTAAATTTATGTATGCATGTATTTATTTATTTATTTTAATTTTAGAATGTGGGGGGGTTTGTATTGGTTTTTAAGAGTAACTTTTGACGTATATTGTTACTGGAAACCTAAGACTGAGGTTCAGATGTCTGGCATAGGTGCTTTATATATCTGATTGAGAAGCCTAATTATGTGACATGGGAATATCTCTTCTAGTTTAGTAAGCTTATGTATGAGTTTTAAAAATATATTTAACATAACTTTTGTTAACTTTCTAGTTGTTTTTTAGGTAGCAATGCACAAGATTTTTGTTGTCAGGGTAGTTCTGGTATGATTTAGGTCTTAATCCTCAGCAGCATGATGATGATAGTCCTATATATTTTGACGGTGTTAGAAGATAAGGCTAATTTGGTTGACTTTTTTTTGGATGGGGTGGGTAGAAGGCTTTTGCCTCCAAGCCTTTTGTCGATCTACGTGTAAAGCACAATCAAGGTGTTGAATAACCTGTTTCTGTTAGTTACGGTGGGGAAATAGAGCAGCTCCTGACTTTGGAGAGTGAGGTTGGCTTTTTTTTTTTTTTTTTAATGAAAGTCTCAATAGCCTTAAATAGCCTTAAGCAAAACAGTATTTTAGCTGAAATGCTGAAATGAAATGGCCATGAAATATGAGCACTACCTTTGCCAAAACACACATTCTGCAACTGATAAAGAAACAAATAGAAATTCATTGTAAGAAAATACTCAATTTATATAACCTACATTACATATGTGCTTTCAGATCTTTATGTTAATGTTTATTAAATATTTATAAAATCATATTGAAACATAAGTTAGTGGGTTTGTGAGAGAGCTCAATACCTGGCAGAGAAATCAGCTGGGATATTGGTCATAATTATGTGGCATCACACTGGAGTGAACTGAGCTAGCTCTACGAAGTTAGAGAAGCATCTTAAGTAGCATGAATCTACTAATGTGATATTTTCTTGAATTATTAGTCTTCCATCTCAGTACTTGTGGTGGTCTTGCTACTGAAGATGCTTTATTCTTAATGAGTTAACATCATCTCTCCATTGCACTGCAGTGAGCTGTGTAAAGATAACTTTTTACATAGCATAGTAAAGTCGAAAATTTTATGTCATGTTTGTTGAACAGCACAGATGTGTTCATAACCTATTTCCATTTTGCAACGAATCAGGTGAGGAACCAGGAGGGGTAGCCAAGAAAAAAACTAGAGTCAAAGGTATTCTTAAAGTTCTTTTTCTTGTGGAACTTCATGCAGATAATGTCTGAAATGCATGCACATTGCAAATACAAACTGCAGATTATAATAATGTTTACTAATACTATCTATGTTGGCTAAGTGTTGTCTAATGGTACAGCAAACTGTTATCCTTCCCATTTTTCATTGTTTTGGTGGCTTTTTTTTTAATACTGATTATAATTTAATGGCAATGTGAGTGCTTTCCTAACTAGAGATTTTGTTTGTCAATTTTTTTTTTTACAAGGGTTGTTTTGTTTGGATTACAAGTAGTTTATGGTAACTTCATATTATGCATGTGTTTAAAAAGAAAAACAAAAGAAAAAACTGTTCTGATTTATGTGCATTTTTTACTTTGTGAAATTCTCCTTTAGTTATCTTATATGAATTCTTAATGCTATTACTATATCATAGTTGGACTTGAGCACCTTAATTTCTACTCAAGTCTGTACTTAAAAACTTTAATCTGTTTCTTTCTTATGGAAGGAAACTTTTAGGTAAAATTCAATAACTTCCCTTTTAATATCATTGCAGAATTGATTGCAGTGATGAAACTTATAATTTTTTTTCAAAAGCTTAAAGTAGGATACCTTGCAACCAATTTATACCATATATTTAGTTATAATTACATTTCTTCATGAGCAGGATATCATGGTCTAGATGTTTCACTGTAGCAGAGAGACTAAGAAATCTAATTAGCCTTAGCAAAACACCAAGGTACCAGATGTAGTTCAGGTACTTAATTTCTTAGATATGCTCAGCTATTTCCACACAGCATGGAATTATGTAAAGAACACAGTCTCTTTGTTTCACTAAAGGCATTTAGACTTTAATGTGATTTTTCTAGCAGTATGTGAAAAATGCACACTCTTTATAATATAAAATCTCACTGGGGAAAAAGTGCATTTCCTGAGGGAAGCTCTCATGCTCATGTATGAATGTGACTTCTCTTGGCATCTTCTGTGCAAGCTGAAATTTTCAGCCTTTGTTCCACACCGTGCTTGGTATGACTTGGTTGCAAATTGCTTCTTTCTAAGAATGTAATAAATGTAATTTAGCAAATCATTACTGAATTTTTCATTATTTGTATTTGATATAAGGATGAAGAAATGGCATGATGCAGTTTGCTTATTGTCAGAAAAAAATTTGGAAGAATAAATGGTGTTATTCCTTTTAGTTTGAGCTGTGTGACTGAATTGTTCATTCCACAGAAATGTTACATAGCTGTTAGAGGCAGATGTTACAGGAGAAATGTCACTTGCCTGCTTTTTACCTTCCAGACTGTGATTTCTCTCAGAAGTTTGAATAAAAACAGAGCTGTTGTATTTTATATATGAAATTGTGATTGCTTTTTCACTAATATGAGAGTATTCATTTTAAAATTAAATGTAAATACTGTATTTAAATTAAGTGCAAATGCTGCTGGTGGAATCCAGGACAGCTGCATACAGAGATTTTATGGAAAAAATAGTAAATTTTATTGAGTTAAAAATTATTTTGGAGAATGCTGCTGATGCTGGCACGTATTTTTGGAACTGTGGGCAAATTCCAAGGATGTTGTTCTGACTGTTCTTCAGATGTATTACCTAGATACTGTGTCACAGCCAAATGTGATTTGAAAGAGAGAAAATAAGCACAAAGAATACAACTCCAAAAGTAAAGCAAGCAAAAAAAAACCAGTATTACGAATAACATTACATATGGAAAATGTAGGAATTAATTTACAGTTGCTACTTTGATTTCACTGCATTATGTGTGAACCAAGTAAAACTTTTTGGAGTTCATTTAATTCAGCAGGACATTGCTGTTTCTTCTTACTTACGGTGTACTTATTTCTTGTTTTTGTAAAATATATACTTCAGATACATTTTTAAGTTTTGCTTAATCAGAGGTTACAATGTCAGTAGAACATAATACGCATTTGTGTTGTTATAACACTTGCATTTGTAGTTTTAGAAAGTTGAGAAAATTGGAAGAATAATTTTTTTGGTGATGCTCTTGACTGCTATAGATCCTACCATTGTATGATCTGTAGAATTTCTTGCCAAAGATTCAAAATCTACTGTGATTTTCATACCTACAGCGAAAACTGATTTTAGCATTCTGCACAAGTTAGTTAACAGTAAGCTAATAGAGGCATGGTTTTTAATGGATTAATGCTTTATTTGGATGCAGTTGCAGTAAGCTGAGGTTATTTATTGGCTGGCTGCATGGTGTGAGATACTGCTGAAAGTCAAAACTAATTGTTCAAATTGCTTAAAGCTCAAACAGTTAATTATGCAAGTTTAAATTGGTGCCTAACAAACACTAAGTAATAAATCAATTGAAGCTTTTAGATGGTTGTTCATAAGATGTTTTCTGATCTAAGAATGGTTTTCTTATTGAACATTTCCTCTTTTTTAAATGAAAAACTAAAAAGTAAAAGAAGCTGTTAAAGAACCACTCAAGAAATTAAGGGAGAAGCAGGAATCCAAAAAGGAGGATAACAAAGATGAGGAAGAAAAAAAGAAAGCCAGGAAAAGAAAAGATGCTGTTGATCGAAAGGACAAGAAAGCTGTTGATACGAATAAATTAAAGAAAGATTCTGACAAGGCTAAAAGAGACAGAGAAAAGGAAAAAAGCTTAGACAAAAATGTAAAATCCAAGGAGGCTACAAAAAAATCAGCCAGTGAAAAGGATGGTACTAATCAGGTGGGAAAAGAGAAAGAAACAAAAAAGGTAGCTAAAAACCCATCCAAGGAAGACAAGAAAGAGAAGAACTAAACAGAGTATCAGTTCTGCTACCGAGGAACAGACCTGAAGAATGAGAAATTCATCATATTTATGTGAATGTGGTAAATATGGCAATAAGAACATAATATTTTCTGGAAATAAGTATGAACAAAGGCTATCTATAATATTTAAAAAAATAACTGTTAAGTATGTTCTTGCAGTGTAAACACAAAGCAAAAAATGTCTTCTGTGAATCTCAAATACATATATATGTGAATATGCCTGTGTAACTGTGCATTGAAAACAATCAAATGTGGAATAATGCAAATTACTTCAGACATACTCTGAATCTCTTGGGTTGTTTTGCTCTTTCATTGTTTCCTCATATTAAAATGCTTTTTTCTTGATGTGGGAATGAATATGGGATGTTGTATATTAAATGCAAGTTTAAAAGCAGCAGTAAGAGGATTTTCTGGACACCTAAAATGGAAACTAAGAGGAAGATAGATTTCTGTTTCATAAAAACAACCAAGAGGAGTATTAATAGAATGTTTTGTCATAGGAACCTAGCAAATAAATGTAAGTTATTCCCTGCTAAACTTTTTTTTCCTAAGTATGCTGAGAAAACTATTTAATACACATTCAATCCAACTTTAGTGTTGTGTTAATTTGAGACTTCAGTGTCTACTCAACCAGAATGTTGCAATACTTTTGCTTATTGATCCTGTGACAATATGTTCTGCTTTCTTCTTTCATTTATTGATTTATTTATTTATTATTTAGGTCTGAAAACTTGATTCATTGGATTCATTGTCAGTGTTCAGTTAACTGTGTCCTGATTTTTCTGAGTTTCCTAAGCTTCTGGTAATGAACATTTCTAAAAATTAGGCCACCTATTTAACTATTGATGGATATCGTTGGATTCCAGTCACATTTTAAGTGATGCACTGCTTACTACTAGTGTATTCTGGTTGAACTTGATTGGAGAACACCTTACTGATTTTTGCAATTACTATTTTCTACAAACACCACTTTTCAAGTACATGATACTTCTGTAAGCAAGCTCCTGTGTTAATTTGCTCTTATAGTTACTGTATTTTTAGCACAAAAGAATGATTTATCCAGTAGTCTCATTAAAAGAGACAAAGTTACAAAACATTTCTGCAGAGGTATTTTAGTATGTTATTGAATCTATACTTGCTTTTATGTTTATATGGGAAAGCAGTATATTCTAATTTTACCAGACAAATAATATTGCTTGGTATATTGAAATACTGATTGCATTATAAAATTACACAAGATTCAGAATGAAATTTGTAATTAAAATTGAAGTTTTATTATTATTGTTATATTGCAGTATCATTTTAAAGAAAACAAAACTAAGTGAGAGTGAGCATGTCTGTGTGGGTGGTGGTGTAAGATTAGAGGCCTGGTGTTTGCTTCTTTTCCTAGTTTTGCTTAAATTTTGTCTATAGCAGTTGGCAGTACACTTACCTCAGACTTCCAATAAAGAACATACATGTCTGTGTAAGATGCTTTGATCCCTACAGGTAGAAAAAGTGATAGGGTAAGATCTAATCTGTTGGAGTTTTTTAGAGGAAACTTACTCGTTTAAATGAAAACTGGAGAAAATAGTGCTGTAGATTAAGATTCTAGCTGTGATATTTAACAGATTATATACTGAGCTATTTTCTAAATATTTATATATGTGTGAAGGAGGAATTAAAAGATGTGTGTTATTAACATTGTAATGCTTAGCAAAAACCGACAGAATTAAGATCTAATAAATGTACTTGCACAATGAACATTCTATTTTAGGTTGTGAACATGATAGACGTGTTTATTAATCTTTGGTCTGATAAGTGCTAAGATAGATATTTAACAGAGGAGCACTTAAATCTCACTTAAATAACTGTCTGGGAGTGTATTTGGAATGAGATGCCTTTCTGATTAACATATTGTTTTATCTATGACCCAAAGTTTAGGTGTTCCTAAAAGAAGTTTTGTTGTGGGTTTTTGGGTTGTTGGGTTGTTTTTAACTCCCCTCTTAATTTTTGTTTCATTTTGTTTAAGCAGCACACCAGGCTGTATGGATAGCCACACAATAAAATGAGGTTTTGCCCCAGGCGTCTGTTGTGCTGTTGTGTATATCCGTGAAATAGTACTGTCATTTAACTTACCATAGCAGGTTACCACATAAGCTCAAAGAATGCACCACACAAGTAAAAACTGAGTGTAACTTTATTTCAATAAAAATGTGAGACAAAATAGTATCTCACAAAAAGTAAATGACTTAACATATTACATACTTGACATGGTTGAATAAGAACTGTTAATAAACACATCATAGATGTGCCTGATAGCAAAGTTGAGAAACGTGCAAGCAAAACAACAAAAATACTCTTTCTAGTCTCTTTCCTTTCACAACACTCTGATGGCTGTGAAATATTGAGTATCTTTTGAAATACTTTGAATCCATTTATTTATGAAGCAAAGCAAGTGGTTGTCTGGAATTAGAGATGCAGGTTGTCAGAGAATATGAAGACTTATTTAAAGAGGTGTGTATGTGAGGGAACTATTTTTGAAAACAAGTGGCAGTTTCTATGCTTAGAGATTCTAAAGTGTGAGGCAGCAGCTTATGAAAGTAACTGAGTTTATCTCAATATGTAGTTAAAGATGACTGTGGAAGTAAGTAACTTCTTAATCTTGTAGCCCTTAATATTAATGCAGTAAAAGATTAATGTAAGTCTTCATAATATTTTTTAATGTTAAAGGGTCTTAATGGTGCAGAAAAAAACTGGCAAAAAATGGAGTCTAAATTTGGTGCTTTTTTTTCTAGCTTCTTACCTTGATTCCATAGTAGTGGACTCTTGATTACAGTACTTTTAGCTACAGCCTAACTACTTATCTTCATGTAACTTGAATAATATAAAAAGGTGTAAGTAGAATTAAGCCTGTTACTTCTGTTCCCACTGTTTACATAGAGCAGTAGAATAAATATGTATTTTTCTCATGATGCATAAAATATATAATAAAATCTCTCTAGTTTACATAAGTCATTTTGTGACATACTAGTCCTATTGATATTGAGATATGTTTGACTCCAGCATGACATGGCAATTAAAACGAAAACCCAAACAAAAAAAAAAACAAGCTTTACTGACTTGAAATATAGTTACTTTTCCAAGACTTAGCAGTCAGGGGTGCTCATTATAGTGTAGCCTCTGCTTTCTTAAATACTATTTTTCTACTGATTTCTGTGATACAGGCCTTGACAAACTACTTTGTGTGCTTAAGGTAGTTTTATCTTCATCTTTATTGACCTTGGAACTTAAATGTGAGCCTTAGAAAAATGGCCTAAGATAATAGGAGAATTCCATTTGGAAGGGACTTCAGGAGATCCTTATTCCAACATCCTGCTCAAAATGTGATCATCTCGGAGATATGACTAGTTTACAGTAGCTATTATCTAGTGTGGCCTTTAAAACCTCCAAGAATGGGAATGCACAACCTTTCTGTGCTGTTTTTTTTTCCACTGATTTGACTGTCCTCATGGGGGGTGTGTGTGTAAGTTTGCGTTTGTTTTGGTTATGTTTTTGTTTTTCTTACACCTGGTCTGAACATCCCTTGTTTAAGTCTTGCTTGAAACCTTCCTGAAGAATAGTTTAGGCTAATACCAATACATTCTTTCTTGAGGATGTATCTTAAAATGGGGCATAATCATTCAAGGCTATAAGTTATCTCTTACAAGGATGTTGATTATTGCTGTTACTGGTTCCTGTCTTTTCACTGTGTTTTGATCTAGAAAGGCTGTGGTATAAATAGTAAGTATCTTAGTGGTAAAATGCTGTCAGTCATATTTTTTTCTTTACTAATTTGGTTGTCAAAAGAAATTGGAGATTGAGATAACCTTATTTGACTTTCTGTCCAAAGAGAAAACAGTGAGAAAAGCCTGTTGTCTATTTTTCTTCTGGATACTGAATTGGTGTTGGGAATAGCATAATCATTTGTTCAATTACTTTTAAATAAAGGCATATGCTTAAATTTCTGTTCCTTTTTTCTCCTCATTATATGTTAGTCTTTAAAACCTATTTGTTTATTATCTGAATAATCTTTGAATAAATCACTGTGTATCAGGACAGCTGTGTAATTGAATACATTTTGGAGAGTTTTGGCATCAGTTAATTTAATTGAAACAGCTTTCTTAGTTTATAATTGAATGAGATCAAAAAGAGCATGAAGTTAACTTTATAACTGAAAAATGCAGGCCTTAAAGAAACATCTGTCCCAGCACAGCCAATATCACCAGCATCTGAGGAGACCAGCCAGCCTGCTGAGAAATCGTATGTTGAATCAGGTAAGGCCTTTTGTAAACTAAACTAATACATTGTGTTATTTCTTTGAGTAGAAAAACAACTCTTTTGTTGATTTTTATGTGTTGCTTATCCACTTCAATTGATTTAACGGGAATCACTGTTGATAACTTTATATAAATCATTGACCATGAAAAGCTTATAATTTAAATGTATAGAAGGTACTCTTGTCAGCTCTCGTGGTTATCACTGGAATCATATCCCATCAGAATAACTTTCTGTTGATGCACTGTTGTGGTTTTGATGTATATGCAACAGCAGATTCTCTACCTCAGAAAGCCCAAAACCAGCCAACCAAACATAAAACTAACAGTCAACTTCATAAGGTTAATCAAATACTAACTTTTCCACTAAAATGAGTAGTATATCATAAACACAGTAAATAGAAAAAAAAATCATTTAAACATTTTAAAAGCTCCATAGAATTAGTAAAATTCATTAGGTTTAAGAAGAATTCAAGAAAAAATACTTTTATATGTAAGATTTCATATATGTGATTGGCATTTTTGTGTTACTCAGAGACTGTGTTTTCTCCTATTCCTTGAAAAGGCTAATCCTGCTTCATGTTTATGTGAACGTAGCACAACCCACAAATGTTGAACATATGGTCAATAAAATAGAATACAGAATTTGTTTTTAAAAGACTCACATTACTTTTTTTTAAGTTATAATTTATAAAGTATGCAAAGTTAAAAATTTTCTTTCTTTCCACCCCATAACTTGGTACCATTTTGGGTCTTTATTTGAACAATTCAATTATTTGGTTTTATGCTGTTGGGTTTCTCAGTGTTAATTTCAGGACATTTATACAAAGGCAACACTTCATACAAATTCCTGTTGTGTCCTGGGCTGGTGTGTTAGCTGGTAATAGTTTGTTCCTGAAATCAGTTTGTGATTAATTCTGGTGTGACTTGAT